AGAAGAGTTTTATGGACGTGAAGTGATCGAAGCCGATCGTACCGTCGTTGAGCAGAACTCTGGTAAGTTTGAGTGGTGTCTAAACCAAAAATATGGTCAAAACAATGTTAAGCTTTCAAAAGCACGATAGTCATCAACTGTCACATGAGAACTACTGAAATTTGTTAAGCTCAACAGGTTGTTTTTCCTCAAGTTGATATAAACACAGTTTTGGTGTTAAGAGATTTCTCGTGGCCTCTCACCATGAAAACAAAATTTTTAGATGAAATATTAGATGGAGCAGATGTTGATGATGTGGCCATGCTTGTCGTAGGAGACCCTTTCGGTGCCACTACCCATACGGATTTGGTACTACGAGCTAAAGAGAGAAATATACCGGTAAGTCAACACTTTCGAAGGCCAAACGAAAGTTTGCTCACTTCAGTAACTTATTTTGATAGTTCCGATATTTTGTTGATTCTCGTGTCTTCTTTAAGGTAAAAATCGTGCATAATGCCTCCATAATGAATGCTGTAGGATGTTGTGGACTTCAGGTTCGTCAAATCAGATCTGAAGCGACATTGCATATGTCGAGTCTTTCGTTCATCGGCTTTTCGTTTCCCTTCTCTAGTCAACCATTACTTAGTATCCTCTTGCTCATCAAAACTATGATTATGCCTAGTCTTTTTTTGTATTAAATGTATCTACATCTTAGCTGTACAATTTTGGTGAAACTGTCTCCATAGTCATGTGGCTGGACGGATGGGAACCTGATAGCTACTACGACAAAATTGCTTCAAACATGGAAAAAGGATTTCACACGTTGTGTTTATTAGGTATCTTAGTTTCAAATCGCCTCGATTCTTTTTTTTTGTGCCATGCATATCTTTTTAGATATTAAGACTAAGGAACAATCTATTGAGAACATGATGAGGTACGCGATTCGATAGTGTCATAGAACAACTTCGCTAGTAGTTTATCGCATCTTTGTAGGGGTAAAAAAATTTACGAGCCAGCCCGATACCTTACTTGTGCGGAAGCTGCCACCCAACTGCTAAAAATTGCGGAGAGAAAGAAGGCTGCTGGAAATGATCCTTGTCTGTTATTTTCAATGTTTCGAGGGTGTTACATTTAACTAAAATTGAAAAGTTTCAGTCTACAACGAGTCTTCACCGTGCGTGGGATTGGCTCGAATAGGGTGGGACGATCAGAAGGTAAGAGACTTTTTTTCTCTAACAAAAATATCTATTCATTGGAGAAGTTGCGTTTAGCTGAAATAGTCCTTTCAAAACGGTGTTAGAAATAAAAGCTGGTGAAGACGAAGCCATGACTCTGTTGTGTCCCCGGGGAAATGTCGTTTCATAATAAAATTCTTGGCGTCCTACACTCAATGTGATAACGACTTCAAACGACTATCGACTATATTAGTGTCAGTGTCGATTTATGGCTGACAGGGAAGCGTGTTAACCCTATAGATAATGCCACAACTGGAAATTTACAATCAAGTACAGTTACGGAGAAAAGATAAGGTTTGACCATCTTTCACGTACTTTGGAAGACATTTTAACACATATCATATCTGAAATCTCTTAATTATAAAAAGGGTCTCTTTTTTAACATCATGGGTACACTTATAAGAAATCATTTTAGCTAAATGAGTACAGGGAAACAAATGAATCATCCGAAAAGAAGCGCGAGTTCATTCTTTCCAGTGGCTGAGAGCAATACGAAACGAAGTATTTATGAAAGTTAAAGCTTATTTTTATGTGAATTGAATAAGGTAGCGCAAGCAAATGTATGGAACTGTTAATTTATAATTTAGATTGTCTTCTGCACTTTGAAGGAGATGTCAAGCTATGATCTTGGCTCACCGTTACATTCACTGGTGCTACCGGGTCAGATGCATCCATTAGAAGTTGATATGCTCAATACCTTCAAACCTACTAGTTAAGGAACTTTTTGAAAGTCAAACGCGATTGATTGTAAGTTTATTTACACAAGGCCTAACAAGGTTTCAAAACTCACCACTGTTAAAATAGATATTGCCATGTTCTAGAAAAGGATATAGTGATTTTGAAGAATGTTCAAGATTCTCTTTGTTGACTTGTTACTCTACTCTTGTTGTGTTTCTTTTCTGTTGATTGTTTTATATGAATCCTTTTTATTGTAAATAAAAAAAGTTGAAGAAAATCAGACTCAGAAATACATGTTGGCAAACCCTAAATTGGACCAATTGTATGAAACGCGAAAGGCTC